TCGGATGAATCTAGTAGTCCACGGCGGTAAGTCCTCACAAGGCCATATATACCAACAGCCTAGCAGTCCACTGCCTAATTGCACCAACACAAACTCAACTCATTATAGGACTTAGAAGACTCTCCTTTGAAGAAACCCAAGTAGTAAAAGAAGGCAGCTTTGCAACTTTTCTCCTCAAGCTCTAGGTTCTTCTTGGATTGGAAGGGAAAATACGAAATCTTTACTTTTTTTCTATCCTAGTAGACTTGAAAGTAGGGTTGTCAACGGATCGAATCTTGAACTGCTCAAATCCAATCTGTTTACTTGACAAATTTTAAAATCTTAATTCATATCTACATCCGTTCATAATTGGATGTGACCCGATTATCTAATTTGATCTAAAAATTTAAATTATAGCAAAATTTCATAAAAAATTAATGATTTTATCAAATTTAAGTTAACTTTCAAACTAATTTAATCAACAAATTATTTTATTCAATAATTTCTTTTTTTTTTTTTGAGAAACATCGGTAAAATTATATTACTCAAGAATGTCAGCAAAAAAGAAAGACATAACAAAGTCTGGTGTATGTTCCATCCAAACAACGCTACTATTTAATGGTAAAACAAAACAAACTAACTCATGAGTTACATTATTCTCATTGCGTCGAACTTCAGAAATTTCAAAAAATCGGAAACTCCTTGCTATGTTGCTAATATCTTGGAAAATGACTTCAAGAGGATCAAGATCTCTATCACCATTCCTTATAGAATTCATAACACTCATCGAATCTCCTTTCAAAATGACTTCTACTAATTCTTGCTGCCTTGCAAATTGTATTGCAATTTTCGCTGCAATAGATTCTGCTTGTTGAATATCACAACTCATAGCAATCCTCTTGGACAATGCCCCTACGAAGTACCCCCTATCATCACGTATGGCTACCCCCACTCCTAAGACATTCTGGTTTGCATATACAGTGGCATCAAAATTTACTTTGAAGGTACCAACTCTTGGAGGAAGCCACCCAACGTTGGGAATATGCTCGGCTAGAGGCTGAACTGCTGCCTCCCGAAATTGACTACAAAATTCAGCTGCCTTCATCTGCACTTCAATGGGATCTTGAATCAAATTTTCGAAGATTCTAGTATTTCTGTTTCTCCACACAAACCAACACTGAATAAGGAACAATGAAAACTCATCAGATCGAAGGGCCTGATGAGCTTCACACATCCACTGCCCAGGGTCAAAGGACATAAGTAGGCTAACTACCTTTAAAGAACTGCAGCCCCATACTGCCTTGGTCCAAGTGCAATCCCTTAACCAATGTAATAATGACTCAGCTTCGTCTTGACACACTGCACACCTCCCATTCACCTCAATTCTCTTTCTTTGAAGATTTTCACTAGTTGGTAATGCGTTAGAACAGATCCGCCAAGCAAAAATTTTAATTTTATTTGGAATTTTTTGATTCCAAATAAAATTCCAGTCCAGATTTCCAACGTTAGATGAGGGAGATGAATTTGTTGGGTCTGCCTGCAATAGCCTTTGATCCAAAATAATTTGATATGCGCTCCGAACCGAAAACCTCCCATTTGAATTATAGTGCCAGATCAGTCTATCCTCCATAGGAGATATGCTAAGTGAAATGCCTTTGATCACAAACGCCTCATGAGGCATGAAAATTTCGTCCACCAGTTGATCATTCCAACTCCGCGTTTCCTCGTTAATAAGATCCCCAACCTTAGTTGGAGTATGAAGACCCCTTCTAGGAGATACTGGCTTAAAACTTATAGGGGTGGGTATCCATCTATCCGACCATATATTAACTTTGGAACCGTCCCCTATTCGCCATCTTGAACCTGCCTCCACAACTTTCCTTGCTCCTAAAATACTTCTCCAGGTATAAGAAGGTCTATGCCCAATCTCTGCCTCCATAAAAGATGTCGAAGGGAACTACCTTGCCTTAAGCACTTGATAAATAAGTGAATTAACCACTCTATTTATTCTCCAAGCCTATTTCGCCAACATTGCCAAATTAAAAGCCTTAAGATCTCTAAAGCCCATCCCACCCTTATCCTTTATTGTACACATCTTTCCCCAGCTAACCCAATGTATTTTCCTTTCCCCTTGCCTTTGTCCCACCAAAATCTTGCTGCTAGTGTCTCTAATTCCTCACAAAAGTTATCCGGAAATTTAAAACAACCCATAGCATATGTGGGGATGGCTTGCACTACCGACTTAATCAAGACCTCTTTCCCTGCTCTAGATAACAATTGTTCACTCCACCCTTGCAGTTTATTCCACACCCTTTCCTTTAAATTGTTAAAAACTTCTCTTTTTGATTTACCCACCACGGTAGGAAAGCCCAAGTATTTATCATGTTGATAGACCCNTATTCCACACCCTTTCCTTTAAATTGCTAAAAACTTCTCTTTTTGATTTACCCACCACGGTAGGAAAGCCCAAGTATTTATCATGTTGATAGACCCGTTCTACCCCCAAAATATGCTGAACTTGGTTAGCCTTTGCCTCGATAGAGTTACTACTAAAAACCACTGCTGATTTTTCCAAGTTTATCTTTTGGCCAGAAGCAGCTTCATAAACACCGAGAATTGTCCTGACAGCTCCAGCTTCCTCTTGTGTTGCATTAAAGAATAAAAGGTTATCATCGGCAAACAGGAGATGTGAGATTCGTGGTCCGCCTTTACCCACCGAGATCCCTGTGATTGAGCCATGCAACTCTGCATTGCGTAGGAGTGCTGTTAAACCTTCTACACAGATCAAAAACAAATAAGGTGACAGCAGGTCTCCTTGACGAAGACCTCTTTCAGGATGGAAATAACCNTTGCGTAGGAGTGCTGTTAAACCTTCTACACAGATCAAAAACAAATAAGGTGACAGCGGGTCTCCTTGACGAAGACCCCTTTCAGGATGGAAATAACACATTTGATCATTGTTCAGCAGGATTGAATACGAAACAGTCGTAACACATAACATCACCAAAGTAACCCATCTATGGTCAAAACCCAATTTAATCATCATTTTTTCCAAGAACACCCATTCCACCCTATCATAAGCTTTGCTCATATCCAATTTTAGAGACATGTGACCCGTTCTACCCCAATTCTTACACTTCAGGAAATGATTAATCTCANTTTGCTCATATCCAATTTTAGAGACGTATGACCCGTTCTACCCCAATTCTTACACTTCAGGAAATGATTAATCTCGAAGGCAATTACTACATTATCGGTAATCAACCTCCCCGGAAGAAAGGCACTTTGGGACTCAGATATAACCGAGGGAAGAATAAACTTTAGACGATTAGCTAAGACTTTTGAAATAATTTTATAAATAACGTTATACAAGCTGATTGGACGAAACTCATGCATAGACTCCGCATTTACACACTTAGGAATGAGAACAATATGGGTATAGGTGAACTTTACAGGGAATTGACCACCATTGAGAAAACTCAAGACAATTTGCGACATCCGACCAGACAATATGCCAGTATTTCTGGAAAAAAATAGGAGACATACCATCTGGACCGGGGGATTTATTAGGGAACATTTAGGATAAAGCAGTTGTTACCTCATCAATTCGAAAGGTCTGCAGCAGCCTTGAATTCATTTCTTTCGACACCTTGCGGTCCACCTTGCTTAAAACAGCCTCTAACTCTTGGGATTGTGGTCTGCTGGACGTAAACAAGTTGTTAAAATACCCGACAGCCACTTGTTCCATTTCTTCCAAATTTTCACACCAGCCCCCTTCACCATTCTTAAGCTTAACAATTGTGTTTCTTCTCCGCCGTTGGGATGCCCAAGCATGGAAAAAAGCTGTATTCTTATCCCCCTCCCTCATCCAATGGACTTTCGACCGTTGACGCCAATAAGTCTCCTCCATATCAAGTAAATTATTCAAATCCGTAGCCACAACACGAGCTTACTGCCTTGAGTTCTCTGTTATACTNGACCGTTGACGCCAATAAGTCTCCTCCATATCAAGTAAATTATTCAAATCCGTAGCCACAACACGAGCTTACTACCTTGAGTTCTCTGTTATACTGCCTTCCTTTAAACATGCCAGTTTACCTTTCATGGCTTCTATCTTATTTGGAATATGACCCACGTTCACTTGTTTCCACTTAAGAAGCTCCACTCTACACTTTTGCATTTTCTTAGTGAACCCATTAACCCCTAAAAGGTGCTCACCAGAATTCCATGCCTCCTGAATAACCTCGTCACATCCCTCTCTCTTTACCCACGCCGCTTCGAAACGAAACAATCTTTTCTTTGGGCGCCACACCTGAGTCGTCAACCCCAAATTACTGTCTAAAAGAATTTTGTAGTGAACTGATTCCTTCGAGAATTTATGACAAACTCTTGAATTTGGGAATCTCGTCACCCATGCAATGTTTGCACAGATTCTATCAAGCCTCTCCACACAATGTTAGGTTCCTTCCAATTGTTGCACCAAGTAAAAGGAAAACCTTCAAATCCCAAATCTATCAGTGCACAATTGTCGAGAGCCTGCCGAAAATTTCTCATTTGCCATTCCGCCCTTCTTCCTCTCCCCTTCTTTTCGGTTTGTGAAACTATTTCATTGAAGTCCCCAACACATACCCAGGGCAAATTACTTATACTTCTCAGTTGTTGTAGCAATGCCCAAGTATCTCCACGCTTCGATAGCTCTGGTTCCCCGTAGACTCCCGTCAACCTCCATGGTCCAAGGTCCCCCCTCTCATGAACCAGCACATCAATATGACCTCGAGAGTAGCTCTGTAGCACTACACTCAACTTTTTTTGCCAAAACAACGCTAAACCCCCAGAATTTCCTTGCGACTCTACAGCCAGACCACACAATCCAAAACTCATTTTCAAAAAATCAAATTTTCTAGAATTACACTCCGTCTCCGACAAGAAGACGAAATCGGGCCGCTCTTTCTTCACGAAATCGCGCAGATCCTGAACTGTCAAAGGATGCCCTAGTCCCCGGCAGTTCCAGCTAAGGATTTTCATGGAGATTGGTGGGACTGGATCCCAGCACCCACCGTTAGCTCTTCCATATCTACCATAGTTGAATTACTTTGGTCAGGATTAACCCTAACTTTTTTCTTTACACTCCCTTCCGAAATAGAAGCCAGACCCTCTTTGCCTTCGCCAGGCTTTCGTTTGCCACTGTATTCCTCCTGAGACTTTGTGCGCTCCATAGGTATAGAACCCTTCTCCCTTCTCCTCCATTTCTTCGTGACTATAGGATCCTGATTACATATGTGTCCCTCAGCTGCCTTTGTTTCCCCCAACTTAGATATGGTTCTAGGCTGGGCTAGGAATGAGATGGGGGTATCCATAAAATGTTCTAAAACCCAATGGGCCACCTCGTCACCCCCTGATCCAGACTGACTGCTCCACTCTCCCCAAACACCCCCCCACCCCCCATATCATCCACACAACTTCGGGCCTTTAATTCCTCGCCATGGATCTTTCAAGCCACTATCCACACCCCCATTGATTACTATTGTATTGCCTTCTTTCCCGGGATGCAAATTTTTGGTTTTCTTTTGCCTTCCTTCCTCATTTACCTCGGTTTCCTTTACCAAAGGATTTTGTTTGTTTATTGAGGACTCCTTTGGATCCCCAATCAATCTACTTTCCCTATTCGGCCTCCCACTAGTAACCTCTATAGTAGAAATTCCTTCCACTCCGACTATTACTCCATTCTCTCCCTCGTTACTCGCATCAATCACCGCTTTCCTTATTTTGCGAGAATCCTCCACTAATAATTTCTATTTAATTTCTTGTCATCTCATTAATAATCTAATTAAATGTTTATGTATATGGCTTTGGTCAATAGTTTTCTCCCTTTTATCACACAACTAAGCTTCTAATTTACTTCTCTCTCTCTCTCTCTCTCTCTCTCTCTCTCTCTCTCTATATATATATATATATATATATATATCTTTTTTCCGGTTCCAATGTACTTAAATTTTTTTTCAAAGGTTTCAAGCAGTCAAACAAATAAGTTTAAATTCCCTTATAATGCTTTATTTTCCTTGCTGTTTTAATTACTTAACTGACATGCGTGCGAAGAAACCATTGCTCCACAAGTCCAATGACAATCATCTCCATGACAACAAAAAAATGTCCACAAAGATGCATCTAAAATGACAGGTAAAATACCAAATGCCGCAAGTTTCAAAGTTCACATTAGAAGCATTTTATCAAAGAAACTGTACATTTTCCTGCACGGGCACACATCAGGTAACTTCATTGGGGGTATTTTACTCAGTTAACACTCACTGGTATTTGTGCAGGTAACGATGCCAAAAGTTACTTGTACATGTATGTTAAGATTAACCTGTTGAGTGCTACCTTATGGCAGCAAAGCGCCACAAGAAAAAGGGAAATGAGGTGCAGAAGAAGCGTGTCTATCAAAAGAACTCTAGGTAAAGATAAAAGATCATAAATAGCCAAAAAGAATTTCTATGTCTAGACAACAAGCCTATTAATATACAAAATAATACAGAGCCCAATACTTCCAAGCTACTGCCGAGGTACAGGTGGTGGTGTAGGCTGATGGCTTTGCCCATAGAATCCTATACCTGGAGGACGGTAATAACCACTGTTGGCAGGTGGTTGCTGCTGCTGCTGCTGAGACAGTGGCTGCGGAGGTGGCTGAGGTACTGGCCTCGCTAATCCCATTGCCATATGGGAAGACAGTGGAGGTGGAGGCGGGAGGTTGTTAGCACCATATCCATAGGGCATAACCCCCATCATCAAACCAGCAGATTGGACAAATTGATTTACTGGGGAATTTGCAGTAGGTATAGGTGGTGGAGGGGGTGGTGGTGGAAATGGTGCTTGTATCTGGTTGGCTTGGGGAATGGGTTGCATACTTGTAGGTGGTGCAAGTGGCATATTTGTCATTGGTTGCTGTTGTGCAGAACTATAATAGGGTGAATTACCCAGCTCAGAACTATTAACATCGGAAACAGGCATCTGTTTGTCAAGTTTGGGCCTTTTTTCTGGGGAAAACATTGGTAAACCAGCAGTGAATCCAGTTGATTTCAAGCCACCACTCAGAGAGGCTGCCTCTTCTGCGACAAGGGATGACAGAACAGAGGTAAGCATCTGCGCAGAGGAAGTAGAAGCAGCAAGCTTAGCAGCAACTGCAGCTGCTGCTGCCTTCTTATAATCCTCTTCAGTAGTTTTCGAAGTTGCAAGAGAAATCACAGGTTGGGACGCTGCAGGCAGAGGAGTGCTGGTAAGTTGAACTGAAGACAGGTTGAATTCAACTGCCCTCGTGGATTCCATTGATGGGTTAGTAGTAGTTGGAAGAGGTTGTGCTGTCAGTCTCTGCCTCATATTTATCGAATGCTCGATTTGACCCCTAGCAACCTGCACATCCATTGAAAATGCCATGTTCATCCAAGAAAAGCTACTAAATTCCGCTGTATATTAACAGGTTAAATCAAACAAAAGGTGTATAGGATCTATTCTAAAGGAACCACCACAATGATTCACACATGCACCAATTAATATTCGTTGTCAAGGAGCTAACTATGTGATCTGAGAGAGGTGATCCAGAATTTTCATCAATTAACTTCACCAGAGTAGAAATTTTTGTAAATGTAGTTCGAGTATTGCAGATAAAACAGCCACAATAGTAGTCGTAACTCTAACAGTCATGTCAGAATACAACAACTATTAAAAAGCTAATGGATAAGCATCTTGAACCACATGCTCATCACCATGAAACCATTACTGCAAGGGAATTTGTGCTTGTATCTAGAGGTAAATTGCGAGGAATTATCCCACTTTTACTTTATTTGGGGTCCTAATTCATTGGGATCACTTGATCGATAGTGGACTTCATCTTACACTGGGACCCACTCCCAATCCACAGATCATAATGCATTAGGTCCTCGCATTACGTCCCCTAATTATGTCCCACGCAATTGCAAGTAATCATAGCTCATTAGACATTTAAACTTTAAACATTGTACAAGCTAATAGCTCTTATTTTGAATTTCTCTTTTTCCATCCCTTTTAGGATACAAATAGAAAGTTGTTCTTCAGTCCCAGTGCAAAGCGAAAAAAAAAAAAAACACATTTGTTTCCTTGTCGTGTAGCACAACAAAAAAAAAAAAAAATTAGAATTTGTAATTCTACTCGGGCACTTTTACTTCCAGGGGAAAAGGGGCATAATAATTCATTAATCTTCACTTTAATAAAGAAGTTTGCTTCTTTTAGGTGTCCATAATAATATTCCGGGTGATGACCTAGATGTCTATATCTATAGTACTTCTAAATATCACTAAATTAAAAACCTTTTGAAGGACTTTTATACCCTTAAAAATACACACAAGGACAAGTTGACATCACAATCAAGAAGACGTGCATGTTCATGTTCTTTTAAAACTGTTAGGTGATGTCTCCACAGATTGTCACTGATCAACATTTAGATCCTGGCAATTGAATTTTTTAATTCAATCTCCAATCAATTTATCCTTTCCTATTCTTGGTTTGTCCATGTACATATACTTAACTGGACGTCTTACACATCCTTTCTCTTCTCCCCCCTTTTTAAATCTCAAACATAAACGTCTNGACATCACAATCAAGAAGACGTGCATGTTCATGTTCTTTTAAAACTGTTAGGTGATGCCTCCACAGATTGTCACTGATCAACATTTAGATCCTGGCAATTGAATTTTTTAATTCAATCTCCAATCAATTTATCCTTTCATATTCTTGGTTTGTCTATGTACATATACTTAACTGGACGTCTTACACATCCTTTCTCTTCTCCCCCCTTTTTAAATCTCAAACATAAACGTCTATAATCATTTCAGAATAAATAAAAACTTCATCCCATGGATGATGTTATCCCAACTTATCTCGAACTATTGGCATTTCATATCATTATAAAAAAACTTCAATTTTTGAAACCCTCCCAATTTGGCCCCTCACTCATGCCCTAAATTAGACGCCAACTCTCTCTTTCCTCTCCTCCCCTCTTCCCTTTGCCAATGACCCTGCACAACCACTATTAAATATCATCAAACTAGGAGAGGAGATAAAAGTGAGAAAATAGAGAATGATATTACGGCTCATTAGTTTGCATTACAGTTTAATAGAAAAATACATACAAAAGGCCCTTATATAGTAGGGCAACATAAAAGAAAACAAAAGACTAAGTTATCCCCAACACTAAATATACTAACTACTCTAATACCCTTCCTCAAACTTATGATGTAGTAACAAAAAACATCAAGAGTTTACCAAGCAGAAAATAAAAGCGAGTAATAGTATGTGACATTGTGAAGAAATTTGCTAATTGCATAGTAGAAGAAAGAGGGGAGGGAGATAGTGCCCAACTGCAGATGATGATGCATAAAGTGGCAATCAATCTCAATATGCTTTGTGTGCTCATGAAAGACTAGAGTTATAAGAAATCTGAATGACGCTAGTGTTATTACAATACATGGGAGTCGGTGTAGATAACATGATGTCAAAATCAGCAGGGAACCATCGTAACAACACTATCTCCGCTGCAGTAGNCTGTTATTACAATACATGGGAGTCGGCGTAGATAACATGATGTCAAAATCAGCAGGGAACCATCGTAACAACACTATCTCCGCTGCAGTAGACGTCATAGCACGATATTCAGCTTCAGTAGATGAACGAGAAATAACAGTTTACTTCTTACCATAGTTGTTAGTATCGTACGATACGTCACGATACAGGTCTAAACCGATACGGATCGTAGTTATATATCGTTTTTGCATTGTATCGTCCGATACATGATACGGTTTTACGATACGATACATCGATACACACCGATACGCGAAGTTNCTAATTGCATAGTAGAAGAAAGAGGGGAGGGAGATAGTGCCCAACTGCAGATGATGACGCACAAAGTGGCAATCAATCTCAATATACTTTGTGTGCTCAAGAAAGACTAGAGTTATAAGAAATCTGAATGACGCTGTTATTACAATACATGGGAGTCGGCGTAGATAACATGATGTCAAAATCAGCAGGGAACCATCGTAACAACACTATCTCCGCTGCAGTAGACGTCATAGCACGATATTCAGCTTCAGTAGATGAACGAGAAATAACAGTTTACTTCTTACCATAGTTGTTAGTATCGTACGATACGTCACGATACAGGTCTAAACCGATACGGATCGTAGTTATATATCGTTTTTGCATTGTATCGTTCGATACATGATACGGTTTTACGATACGATACATATCGTATCGATACACACCGATACGCGAAGTCGCTGATTAATTTTTTTTTTTTGACAGCTTGATTCGCACCAGAGATGAAGACACCGAAGCAAAAGCAAGAGAGATGAAGACACCGAAGCCCACAAATCAGAGAATAGAGAAAATGCCAAAAAAAAGGCAACAGAGATGAAGAAGACAAGAATTACCAGGCAACAAATCAGCAAATCAAACAAATTTTTAAAATTGAAAAAAATAGCAATACTAACCTGTAAATTTCGGATGAAACTCTAGGTACCACTGTTTGTCTTCTTCTTCCTCTCTTTCGCTCTCTCTCTCCACCGGCATCGGCATCGGCATCGCGATCGCCGATCGCCTTTTGCTCTTCTCTCTGTGTTCANGCTCGGTGAAGTCTACATACTTGCCCAGGATTAACAGACAATCTAGGAGGAGTCACAGAAGCCTTTTCACTTAAATCTTTATGAAAAAAAGCATTTTTCATATCCATCTGAGACAAACTCCACTGGCAAATGGTAACAACTGCAATCATTGTGTGAACAGTGGTCATCTTCACAACAGGGGCAAAAGTCCCATTATAATCTAGGTCATACTCCTGAGTAAAACCCTTGGCTACTAATCAAGTTTTATACCGTTCTACATAACCATCAGACTTGGTTTTTATCTTATAAATCCACCTATNGACTTGAATAGTAAGTGGAATATTAATGAAATGTTATGTTTTTATGAGCCTATGATTTTTTTCAAAAGCATATATATTTTACAATTAATTATTTAAAATTATGCCGTATCTTACGATGCACGATACGATACACTATTTTTAAAAAACAATACGCCTTCCGATACACGATTTGATAACTACGCTTCTTACTTTTCTAAGAAATAATAAAATCACCGACGAAAAGGTAGAAGTCAGTAGTGGACTTACAGTCCTTGAGTTCCATAAAGGAGGAGGAGAATAACAAACTCCGATGTAGAGTACCTCAAAAATACCAAAAAATACAAGAATAACAACCCAGTGAATCATGGGTAAGGCAATAAATTGACTAACAAAATGAACAACATAGGAGATATTTGGACGAGTGACTGTAAGATATACTAAACTCTCAACAATAGCACGATAGAGTGTAGGATTAGACAAAGAGTAACGGACATTGAACTCTAAAGGTGTTTCAACTGTCTGATTATCTGATAAATGGGTTTGTTGAATAACATCTGAAGTATAATTAGACTGAGAGAGAAGATAACCTTTAACCGAGGAACCAATCTCAATACCCAAACTGTCCCAAATCTTTCATCACAAAATGGTCTTATAACTAAGTTTTTAATAAGCATATATCAACAGTGTCATCATCCGTAATAATCATATCATCAACATATAGTAAAAGAATAATAGAATCTGAGAAAGTAGACCGTAAAAAGAGAGTAGAATCATGATCACTGGCGCGAAAACCTAAGTCGCAGACAACTGAAGAAAATTTGACAAACCATGCCCTAGCCGCCTATTTAAGGGCATATAAAGCTCGGTGAAGTCTACATACTTGCCCAGGATTAACAGACAATCTAGGAGGAGTCACATAAGCCTTTTCACTTAAATCTTTATGAAAAAAGGCATTTTTCATATCCATCTGAGACAAACTCCACTGGCAAATGGTAACAACTGCAATCATTGTGTGAACAGTGATCATCTTCACAACTGGGGCAAAAGTCCCATTATAATCTAGGTCATACTCCTGAGTAAAACCCTTGACTACTAATCAAGTTTTATACCGTTCTACATAACCATCAGACTTGGTTTTTATTTTATAAATCCACCTACAACCAATGGTGCGTTCACCGGATGGTAAAGGCACTAGCTCCCAAGCTCTGGTTTTATGAAAGGTAGACAACTCCTCATCCATAACTTTTTTCCAAAGTGGATAAAATAAAGCCCCTTGTAGGAGGTGAGTTTAGATAGGGAGTGAATAAAAAAAAGGAAAGAACAAAAGTTAAGAGAATAACAAGTATTACTCCAACCAAACATGTCTGGACATTTGCGAGAGTGTTGAGAATAGCACGGGATATGATCCACAATATCTGAACCTGATTGGGTGGCAGGAGGAGAGAGGGGAGACACCGCATCCATAGAGGAGATAACTGGATT